CGACTGGCGACTGGGCCCGGTCTGGAAAAGAGAGAGGAGAGGGGAAACGGGCGACGTCGGCGTGGATTGGGCCGGCGCGCGGGGTGGGCCGCGGGGCAGCGCTGCTGGGCCACCCGGAGAAGGGGGAGCGGGAAGCAGGCCGCGCGGCTACTGGGCTACAGTGGAAGGAGCACCAATGTGTCTTGGGCTGGATCACCGGCTGGGCCTGCGTCGCTAGAGGGAAGGCCGAGCTAGTTTCGCGCGGGAGAAAAAGAAAAGGATGAGGAGGAGCAGGCCGACTGCTGGGCCGAAAGAGAGGGAGAGGAAGAAGAGTTTTTCATTTTTCCAAATCTTTTTCCTATTTTGTTTTCAAAGCCAAATTCAAATGTAAACCAAATCAAATTCAATTAGAGTTTAAAATACACTTTTCAATTCAAATAAAAATGAGCAATTTTGGTAAGTGTTCAAAAATATATTTTTACAACTTTTTAAATGCATTTATTTCCTAATTTTCTTTTCTTTAATTCAAAGCCATTTTTTATTTCATTTGCAAAAGCAATTTTAACCATTTTAAATTTTTAATCAAAACCACTCAACCAAATAAACCAAATGCAAGGGCATGTATGCACATCCATGTTGCTAAGCCCTATAATAAATTTTAAAATAATAAAAATTATTATTTTCCTATGTTTCATGAGCACAAAAATGCGAAATTAAATCAATTTAACTACATTTCTAAAAGGAGAAAAAATTAGAGTGTTACAATTCAAAATCTCTAACCTTGTGATGGAAGTAGGCACTCACTAGGAGGCAATTGTCAAGGGGCACGACAGATCCTCAGGAGGGGGCCGGCGAGGATGGGGTCATCCGGGCATAGCAGCAAGATGGGGCCGACGGAAGGAGGTCGCGAGCATCGAGTCTAAGGAGTCGCCGAGTTGGGATGGGGGGCAATGAGCTGACAGGGTAGACAATCTTTCCACTAGTTTGGCTCGGAGCTGCCGCGGCCCAGTGCGGGCGGCGGGCCGAGCTCACGCCGCCACTGGAGACAGGTGCTCCCGCCGAGCTGCCATGGCCCCCTGCGGACGTCGTGCTAAGCTCACGCGGCCCCTAGGGATGGGCGCTCGGGACGAGCTGCCGCGACCCTAGAGGACGGGCGAGCCGAGCTCGCGCTGCACCCTCCGGACGGGCGCTCACGGCGAGCTCGCGCGGCCCCTGGAGGACGGGAGGAGCGGCGCGCACGGGAAAGAAGTAGAGGGCAGTGTCGCTACGGTCCGAGCTCGGCGCGGGTGGATAGGGATGCGCAAACGGAGGACGAAGTCTAGGGCGGCGGCGCAGGCGGATGGGGCGCGCGACGGAGGATCACGGCGGTGGCTCGATCTGGAAGTGGAAGAAAGGGACAGCCCAGTATACAGAGAGCTAGGGTTCCAAAAGAGACTGACCGGTGGGCCATGAAAAATGTTTTGTGCGCATGCAGGCTGGGCCAGCGCGCCAAAGTGAAAATCGACTGTAGCGATTGATAGTTGGACCAAAGACCTATTTTTTGCGAACGATGCTCCAACGTTACAGGTCAATATCTGTATTGACCCATATGGCATCGCTACAAAAGGCTATGGCGACCGATGCTCCGTTACCGATCTATAGCAACAGATAGTTCGACGCTATATTATCATTTTAGCGACTGTTATCTGACGCTACATATTGGTTGTGGACTTGTGGTATAGTGCATGTTTATTTCTGACCGTGTTCGAGCCATGTTATTTTGTGATGATTTGGTATCATCACGTTAGGACGATTAGGTATCTTCCCGGTATTTGTGTTTCCAACCCCTGAGAAGCCATGGTAGAGTTACATGAACATCTAAGGTCACATACATTCGGGTACGAGGTCTCGTTAGGTTTATTTCGTCCACTGATCATGGATGAGGTTGCACCTATCGTGTGGGGAAATTTGTACACCTCTGCAGAGTTACTTAAACCTATTCGAATAGCCACGTCCTTGGAATGGGCAAATGCTAGGATGGGATACTATGATTAGACTTACTTTTATGTGTAATGAAACTGGTAATGGAATTGATGCTAATCCGGGTACTAGTGGGAATAGTAAAACTCCGCTAGGACCCAACTCTTAATTATAATCACCACTACACTTATATTTCCACCCTATGGTTAGGGCTTGCTGAGTACGTATGTACTCACCCATTGTTGACCTCCAGACTTCGGCACGGAAGAAGACTATGACTTCGACAAGGAAACGTACCACGAGGATTAGGATTCCCGCAAGGAAATACGTTCGTAGGAGTATGACATCGAGGCTAGGGTTTCGACCATGCTCAAGTTGCCTGTGGAATAGGATACCGCTTCGCTATATAATAATCCTGCTCTAGAGACCACCAATAATGCTACTTCGCGGCCGTAGTATTCCGCTAGATATGTAGCCTATGACCATGCCCCTTTGGGGCACTATTGTAAGACCTTAATTCTAGATATCAATAAAGCTCGGAAGCTTTTATTATATATCTGTGTACCATTCTTGTGATTTTGTGCGTGATCCTGGCGCAAATACGGATGCACTTAGGACTCTCAAATTGAGGGGCCGACATGTACCGAGCCTAAGTTATAATTGGGCCACACTTTGTTGCATTCAACTATTGGGTCTTTGTACTTTCGATTAAAAACCGAATAGTTGAGGGGTTACTATTGGGGTTGTATTTTATGTTGGGGACCCCACTATCGTGTCCAGGACCCAATTACGCAGCCTAGGGCTCATAAGATAACATGTTAGGGCCATTTGTAGCCTTTAGTGGCATTTTTTGTAAATACAAACCCTGCTAGGATCCATTTGTAGCCTCTAGTGCCGCTTTTGTAAATACGAACCCCACCGGGGACATAAAGAGAATTTCCTCTCCCACCTACCCTATAAAAAGGGGGAGAGGGGCTTTTGGCTGGCTGATCACTCGCTTGCTTCCCACTCTTCTCTCCTTTGCACTCTTAATTTTGTTGGCTACAACCAACAATAGTTAAGTTTAGGCTCATTCTTTTGCACTCTAGACACCATATGTGGCTAATGAAAGATTAGGCGATTATTAAAATGTTAGGAATAGAGCTTAGGCTAGTCAGAGGCTGCTTTAGCGCTTACCATAGGGCAAAAATCGCAATGGCCTCCAGAATTTCATATAGTACCCATTCTTGCACAAATCTTTGAACGATCTAGACTTTTTGCATGTCTGTGTGTTAGGGTCGTCCTATACTCGAAATCACAACAATGGGAGTTACTAATACAATCTGGACAGAATATCAAGAAGCCAAGAACTAATGTAGTGGAGCAAGATAGCAATAACCCGCCTTTTGTTGGACGTTTGTTCGTTAATTCAATTTGATTCGGTCGATTTAGGTTTAATTCTTGGCCAATAAAGTTGAACCAGATTGGGTGTGTCCTTGTAAACGCAAGACTCGTGCTCTGTCCGTGACGCAGTGTCGGTCATCCTTATCATTTTCCATTGAGTCATGGAAGCCGTCATGTGTGCTCTTTTCTCGGTCGTGGGATGGCGTGATCAAGTTAGAGATTATGGCGAGCACGACACACCTCTCATCATGTTCATGAAACCACGCGCTGCTTGTATATATTCCAATCAATATTCGAGAACGCTGCGTTGTTGCGGCACCAAATTCCTTTGTGTTCGCGTGTGTCCGTGTTCATCAGGTCGAGCTCGTCTTCCTTGAGTCCGACAAGCATCGTCGGTGAGCAGCAAACGTCACCGTTGTTGTTTTGTGCTCCATCAGCAACCGCTAGATCATTTGTGCTCCCCGCGACAAGGAGCTGGGCCATCGTCTTCATACGCCCTTTGGAGGAGCGCGTTTAAGAGGTGGCAATGGTGATGAGGAATGATGTGCATGTAAACAGATGTAGGAGTATTGTAGTCGATTTTGGTTCATGGTCGATGGTCTGGTCGAGGGCCTTCCTGGTTGTGCCTAGTAAAGTTCGAATTCCATGGTGGTCAGCGTCATGTCTTGTATAGTTGCTGTGTTTTGGTTTGATGAGTGGAGTTGGAGTGGTCCATGTCTTCTCAGTTCACGCACAACATTTTGTTTTGCTTTGGGGAATAGGGCGAGTTCATCCATCACCATCATGGCACGTACAACACATGTGCTGAGAGGCCGAGTGAACAAGGCGATCGACCGTGACAGGCAAACTTGGGTTCAACCCCCTGGGGGTTCACAAGGTCAACAATCAAGACAATAGGAAGTGGACCAAGCTAATTTGGGTGCCAAATAAAATTATTTGAACCATTAAGATCACCAAAAAAGTTTGGGTCCCTTGTGAGTCACAACCCAAGCTCCGTATGAAAAGATTGTGCTGGATCATGCATGCAAGCTTGGATTTGGTCTAAGCATCATGCATGCATGCAAGAACTTCAAATCAACTTAGATTTGGTAGAATTCTTAATTAGATAGTTTCTTTGGTCATGGTTTATGTCTAAATATAATTGCATTTGTGACACCCTTGTGAGTCACAACCCAAGCTCTGTATGAAAAGATTGTGCTGGATCCAGGTGCAGGTTGCCTTTCCACTAATTATGAGAGAGTAGCACTAGTACATTTCTAACATCAACACCTCTCCTTTCATACTAAATGCACCTTCACTAAGAAATGTTATTTGTGTGCACTCACCTCCTAATCCTCATATATGCATACTTGAATTCTACAAAATCTTCACAATTACTTGTAAGCTAAAATTCTTATCTCTGTTTTGAACAGAACTGCCACACCACTTCCTAACACCGGTCAATGGTTGCTTGCTTCTATCACTAAATGAAAAGCTCCCTTAGCTTGGTTGATCTACTAAGAGGTCATGTTATTCTTCAACTTATCTTTATTTCTCATTGTCTTTACAGTGACTAGCGATGGTTGATTTGTTTGGGTTTTGTTGGATGCCCTGAATCTGAATGTTAGCAGAATTTTCCTGTGTTGTACTGCTGTTTTCTGTAGGTTGAGATTGTTCGGTGTCAGTTGTGTGAGGGAAACATGTCTAAACAGAAATGTAACTCGAGCCCAGTGGTGCTAGAATCATAGCCTAGAATTCAAAGATATTTTGCTTCTGCACGGAAAGCTAATTGTTGTCAGTACATTTTGATGGCACAGAGGAAGGTACATTTAATACTATTGAGCGCACACTAAATGTAAGAAACAATACAACTTATATGATCTTCCTGTTAAACAGGCAAAGAATTGAATGATCCTCGGGTGCTAACTGATGTTGGTGATGTCCCCATTCAAGAGATCCGTGACTGTGGCGTTGAAGATGACAGATTGATGCATGTAATTAGTGAGTCTGTTAAGACACTGATGGAGGAGGTAAGCATATTATACCATGATGAGTGCCTCATAATATTTTTTTGTTAATTATGCAAGATATTTACTTATGTTGGTATCACTAATGGTACACTTTTGGTTTCAATTCAGAGAGTTGAAAATGGTTTTGTTACATGTATGTAATAGCTCTGGTTTTCTGTTCTGTTTCACGTATTTATTCAGAGTGATGCACTGTTGTGTAGGAGCCTCTTCGACCGTTGGTGTCAGAAGGCGATCACTCGATATCTTATCCAGTGGTTAGGGCTGTGTCTGAAAAGCTTGGAGGACCTGTTGACATTCTTCATCTTGATGCACATCCAGATATCTATGCTGTTTTGAAGGGAACACTTATTCACATGCCTCTTCATTTGCTAGAATAATGGAAGGTGGTTATGCCAGGATACTGCTACAGGTAATTGTGTTATTTTATCTAAGGGTTTCAAGTAAAATATCGATACTATTAATTAATGAAATGAGCATAATGTTGCTAGGTTAATACACTGAAAAAAAATCTGTCATGTGCCTTTAGCTTCCAATATCCATCAATTTTGTACTAGGACAAGGGCTAGCATGGTTTAAATAATGCCTTACTGGATATCGCAGTTTTTATCATGCTATAGCTGCAATTTGTTTTCTTTCCTTGATTGAGTCGGCTCCAGGTTGATGCCCTTGACTTTGCTTTTGTGGCTGTCCTGTCACTAGTGTAAATACCAGTTTCTGCCGCCCTTATCCTGATTCCAACATACTTCAGGTTGGATTGAGATCAATTACCAAAGAAGGGCATGAGCAAGGGAAGAGATTTGGTGTGGAACAGTATGAGATGCGAACCTTCTCAAAGGACCGAGAGAAGCTTGAGAATCTGGTAACATGCTTTAGTTTAATCATTTGAATGTATTTTTCTTGCTTTTATATCAACTCAAAATAGTGAAAACATAGATGATACATCCTATAAGATATGCGTTCACATGTTTATGCCTATTGTGTCCTTTTTCAAGTAACCTTCAGTTTAAATTGTCAACTTCAGTGGATATTCTCAGTTAACAAGCCATCGCCAATCTTAATTTAAAAGGAACTGTAATAACATTGGTGGTTATTGAATTTTTCAAATGTGCAGATTGTTAATAACTAAAACCCATGCTCAACTTACTCTTTCCCTGCAGAAACTTGGGGAAGGTGTAAAGGGAGTGTATGTCTCAGTTGATGTGGACTGCCTTGACCCAGAGTTTGCTCCTGGGGTCTCTCACATTGAACCAGGAGGCCTCTCGTTCCGCGATGTGCTCAACATCCTCCAGAATTTGCAGGGTGATGTTGTCGCCGCTGATGTGGTGGAGTTCAACCGACAGCGTGACACGGTGGATGGGATGACAGCCATGGTCGCCGCGAAACTGGTCCGGGAGCTCACTGCTAAGATCTCCAAGTGAGACGGTTAGGATCACACCATTCTTCTTGAAGCAAAGCGAAAGGGTGGATTTTGATGTCTCGTTGTTTGGTTTATTGGTCTTGGTTCCTGTGTATCGAGCACCAAACGCTTCGACATGTGACAAAGCTTATGTTAATTAGGTTGCAATAACACCATAAAGTTGTTTTCTGCTACTCCTATTTAGGTCATGCTAGATGCTTACCATTTATTTAGGGCGGACTCTGAAACCAAAATCTGTCAGATTCTAGAGCAAATGCTCCGATTGTCTGGAATTTCTCGAACTTGGATCTGATTAGTGAGCTGGAATGACTAAATTATGGTTGATGCTTCCATACTATTCCTATTCTTTTGTTAAGATTTATTTAGTCAACAAATGTATTCGCAAAACGCGCACACTGCAGCTCTATTGCTAGCAGCTAGCAGCTAGCAGCGAGACAGTCAGCTATGGCAGGAGCCGGCGGCGTGCAACGGGTCGACCCGGTCCCGGCCGTGCTCTTCATCCGCCGCCCGGGCGCGCCCTGCGGCAACGCGATGCACCAGCGCTTCCGCGTGCTGGAGCTGGCCTCGGCCGAGCCAGACCCGCCTCGCGCCGCGGTCGTCATGGGCGGCGGCGCCTCCTCGACGCCGTCCCCTCCGTCCGCTGCCTCGTCAGCACGGCCGCGGGCGTTGACCACATCGACCTCGCCGAGTGCGCGCACCGCGGCGTCGCCGTCGCCAACTCGGGGACGGTCTACTCTGCCGACGTCGCGGACCACGCCGTCGGCATGCTCGTCGACGTGCTGCGGCGCGTCTCGGCGGCGGAGCGGTTCGCTCGGCGCCGGCTCTGGCTGCTGCAGGACGGCGGCTACCCTCTCGCCTCCAAGGTCCCTTCCAATCTACTGTTTTTCATTCCAGTATCTGAATTAATCAGCTGAATCAGATGTGTTTTGATTTGATGCTTTCAGCTAGGGGGCAAGCGTGTCGGCATCATCGGACTGGGGAACATTGGTTTGCTGATTGCAAAGAGGCTTGAGGCTTTTGGCTGTGTCGTCTACGACAACTCCAGAAGGCCCAAGGATTCGGTCTCTTACAAGTATTTCTCAAATGTTCACCATCTTGCTTCTGAATCAGACATCCTCGTCGTCGCCTGCGCGCTGAACAAGGAGACGAGGCACATCGTGAACAAGGACGTTCTGGAGGCCCTAGGGAAGGATGGGATCGTCATAAACATCGGCCGAGGCGCCAACATCGACGAGGCCGCCTTAGTCGGTGCACTGACAGAGGGGAGGATTGCAGGTGCTGGCCTCGAAGTCTTTGAGAATGAACCCAAGGTGCCTGTAGAGCTCTTGTCCATGGACAATGTGGTGCTGACGCCTCGTTCAGCAGTTTACACGATGGAGTCGAGGTCGGACCTGTGTGAGCACCTGATTTGCAACCTCGAAGCTTTCTTTGCCGGGAAGCCACTGATCACGCCCGGTCGTGTTGCAGTGCAGGCTAGTTCAGTCCAGCTATTGGGAGGTAACAATACTTTTACCACGAGCTAGAGGAGTACAGGTATTGAAATTGTTATTTGTATTGCATTGCTGCAAAGTGCAGGGTTGTGTTTGTTATAAAATACTAGATCAATTATATTCATTCACTGCAAAAGAGATCGAGTCTCTCATCAGAACTTAAGTTCTGTATGTAAAAAGACCACTGTAATCATCAGGCCAGGGTAAACAACATACTAGTATGTGGTTCACAAATTGCCAACTCTTTTACAGTGAACAGTGTAACACCCGTTAAAACTTGTGTCGATTTTCTTTTTTCATTTTGCTGTACTCCCCTGATCTTGGCCCGTGCAAAATGTAATCATGAGAACATTATAGCATGCTTTGTTCCAAAGGATTTGTATGCAAAGACATTATAATCCTTATAATAATTTGGCCTCGTGGGTATTAGATGGTCCAGAAAATTCATTCTCTACCTACCTTTGGATGGCCACTAGAAACACAGGCCCGCGCCATACTGGATCTGGCCAGTTCATTTCATGTAGCGCATGTTATGGCATCACTTGATTAAAAACAATCTATTTATATGCCAACATATAGTTTTGAGTATAACTAAGGCCCCGTTCGCTTCATTGAAAAAAAAAACAAGTCTTAACACTGTTTCGGCTGATTTGTTGTGCGAGAAAAACACTGTTCCGGCTGAAAAAACAAGCTGAAAAGTACGGATTATAAGACAAGCGAACAGGGCCTAAGCAGAGGCTGCGACGAATAATAATGTCAGTTTTTATATTCAAAGTATGACTAACCTTATAGTCACAACTTTTTTTTTGCAAAACATATTAAATAGATACTAAGGATAATAAATGTGATTTAGTTCTGCTGAAATGATAGATACCATGAATTTCAGCAAAAGTGATTGTAATTCAAGTGCTTTAGAATACTTGCGCTTATCACATTGAAATCAAACGTGTTCTGCAAAGATTCCTATCATTGAAATTAAACGTGTTCTTCTGCAAAGAATTCAGATAATAGTTTCTTTGGAATGCAAATGAGTGTCAAAACATTAGTACAGTTGAGGTTACCTATTCATTTTTTACACACTCAAATCTAGCTAGTTAAAACACGACTCTGCTAACCACAGGATATTGCTACATGGCTCAGCCCTGAATTATGGTTCTTCAGTCTCAAACATATTGCAGGAAGCCAGGAATACATGTCAAGGGCCTCGACGCCCAGGGTAGCCGGCCCTTGGCTACGGAGGTTGTAGCCGCGGTCCGTGTCGCCTCCGGTGAGGTTTTGCCCCTCCACCGTGAGTTTGGTTAGAGAGGAGAGAGAGATTAGGGATAATGATCTTTCTTAATTTGCAAAGTGCCGGATACAATAATAAATAGCCCATGGCTGGAACTGCCATGCCTACAATTTAGGAAAGCCAACAAACTAATAGGAAAGCCAAATAACTAATTGCTACTTGCTAAACTTAGCCACTAACGGTGGCCTTCCCAGCCGAGAGCTGGGCGCGCTCTGCAGCGCGGCGCACGTCACGCGCATGGCGTCTCACGTACGAGCGCCCCCACATGACATCTCCCCCTTCCTCGAGAGCCAGCGCGTCCTCGAGCTGGAAATCTGGGTACTTGGCGGAGAAAGCGTCGACGTCTTCCCAGGTTGCCGAGGCAGGCGACTCACCCTTCCAGTGAATCAGCACCTGGCGCACACCGCGCGCTAGGCGCGTCTTGACGGCGCGTTCTGGCTCCGGAATAACAGCACCATGGCGGACAGCAGGGAGCGGTGGTGGTGCATCCGGCGGTGAGCCATGGAACGGCTTGAGTAGCCCAACATGAAACACGTCGTGCAGACGGGCACGTGGCGGCAGAGCGAGGCGAACCGCGACGTCGTTGATGAGCTCGGTGACGCGGTAGGGCCCGTAGAAGCGCGGGCGCAGCTTGCCGGTGACGGACTGGGGCATAGAGGCCGTCGGTCGATGGCGTAGGCGGAGCAGCACCCAGTCCCCCACCTTGTACAGCACTTGGCGGTGGTTCTTGTCGTATTGATGCTTCTGGACCAGCTGAGCTTGCTCCAGGCGGGCGCGGATGTCGGCGAGGAATTCATCCGCGCTTCTGGGGATCGCGACGATACCGCCACCACGGTGGTCTCCCGGCGTGTAAGACCGGATGGATGGGGATCTCGCCGTGAGACGACGCGGAGCGGCGTATCCCGCAGACGACGATCGGTAGGCGGTGTTGAAGACGTACTCGCCCATGGCGCCATCGGAGCCACGCGCCTCGGCGGTCCCAGTGAGGCATCGCAGAACATGATGATGACGCGGTTGGCCGACTCGGACCGCCGTCGGATCGGGGTGAAAGGTGTCGTCATGTGGAGTGGGTGCCCACCACCGCATCAACTCGCGCGCGGAAGGTGGAGGTGAAGACCGTGTCCCTGTCCGACACGATGGACTGTGGCACGCCGTGGAGACGAACGATCTCGGCGAAGAAGACTTGGGCGACCGACTCCGCGGAGTATGGGTGGGACAGCGGGATGAAGTGGCAAGATTTTGTTGAACACATCAAAGACCGTCAAGATGACGGACTTCCCTCGGACGAGGGCGCCTCCCACAAAGTCGAGGGCGATGTCGGACCACACACCTTGGGGCACGGCAAATGAAGGAGAGGCTGCCGGATGGAGATGTTCCGACTTTAGAAGGCCGACATGTAGGACACGCCCGCACCTTGGCCCGCGCACGAGTTGTTTCATGTTAGGAAAATGGAAATCTCGCCGCGATCGATGATGCAACAGGCGTTGAACGCATTCGTGTCCTTCAGCGTGAACGGCCGCGGCTATTTCGGGCAAGCAAGAAGGGCGAGGCCGGTGGGATGTACAACCGCCCGCTGAACTGGACGAGCCCATCCACCAGCGCCCATGGGGAGCCTCTGGAGCCCGCGGCGAGCTCTTCCTGGAGGGCGACGAGGGCAGGGTCAGAGGTCTGTGCCTGGCGAAGCCTGTCGATGAAGTCAAAATGTGGAGCCGATAGCGCCAGGATAGCGCCCTCCGTTGGTGTATCACGGCGTGACAGCGCGTCGGCCACCGCATTCGCCTGGCCCGGCTTATATTCGACTGTGAAGTCGAAGCCAAGCAGCTTCCCCACCCAATGGTGTTGAGGTATTGTCACGAGCCGCTGATCGAGCAGGTATTTAAGGCTGTAATGATCAGTCTTGATGGTGAAGCTCCGTCCCCAAAGGTACGGCCTCCAGTGCCGAACAGTGTGCACGAGGCCGATCAGTTCACGCTCGTAGGCCGCAAGCGCGCGATGGCGAGGTGCCACCGGTCGACTGAAGAAAGCCACAGGGTGGCTGTCCTGGACCATGACGGCCCCGAACCCGTGGGAGGACGCGTCGCACTCGACGATGAAGGGCTTGGAGAAGTCCGGCATGGAGAGAACCGGGGCGGTGGTGACTGCTTCTTTGAGGGCGTCGAAAGCCGCCGAGGCCTCACTAGACCACAGGAAGCCTTCCTTCTTCAGCAGAGCGGTGAGCGGCGCGGCGATGGTGCCGTAATTATGCACGAACTTGCGGTAGTACCCCGCCAAGCCGAGGAAAACCACGAACAGCAATGGGGCCGAAGCGGTGTCGGCCGATCCCGCACCGCTGTATTTTGGCCGGGTCCATGGCGGCGCTTTGCCTCGGAGATGGCGTGGCCCTGTGCACGCGACGGAGGTGTCTTGGCGAAGGCACACTTGGCGCGCTTGAGGAAGAGTTGTTGGCGCTGGAGCTCGCTGAGGACGGCGCGGATGTGTCGAAGGTGGTCCGCCCATGTTCTGCTGTAGATTAGGATGTCATCAAAAAACACAAGAACGAACCGGCGGAGGAACAGCGGAGGACGTCGTTCATGAGCGCTGGAACGTCCGCCGGCTGCGTTACAAGCCGAACGGCATGACCAGAACTCGTAGAGGCCGTCGTGGGTGCGGAAGGTGGTCTTGTGGATGTCGGTGGCCGCATCCGCACTGGTGATACCCGAGCGGAGATCCGGCTTGGTGAAGAAACGCGCCCATGGAGCTCATCCAGAGCTCGTCGACGCAGTGAATTGGGAAGGCGTCCTTGACCGTAATTGCGTTGAGGGCGCGGTAGTCGACGCAGAAACGCCACGACCCGTCCTGCTTCTTGACGAGAAGGACAGGGGACGAGAACGCGGAGTCGCTGCGGCGAACAATGCCTGGCGATCATGGCGGCACACCGCCGCTCAATTCATCTTGTGGGCCGCCGGGTAGCGGTATGGGTATGAACGGCTACCGGCCGCACACCGGGTTTGAGGACGATGTTGTGGTCCCGACCACGCCAGGAGGTAGGCCGAGGGCTCGGCGAAAACCCCGGAAGGAGTCCAACAATTCGTCGAGGAGGTCCCTCGCGCCGGTTGTGGGCTGCGCGAGAGAGCGAGGCGGCAGCCTTGACACGTCTCGCCAAGACACCCGGCCGGTCTGGCGAAGCGAACGATGTGTGCGCGTGCCTTGAAGTCCCACGTGATCGGCCCCAGGGTAACCAACCATTGAGTCCCCAGGACGACATCGTAGCCCGCCAGCGGCAATACGAAGAGATCCACCTCGAACGCCTCGCCCTCGACGGAAATGGGCGCCTGGCGTAGGACGCCGGGGCACTGGAGCTTCTCGCCGTTCGCCACAGTGGCGGTAAGGCGCGGCTTGGGCTGGATGGCCAGTTTGCAGCGGCGCGCCGCCTCCTCGGCGATGAAGTTATGAGAGGAGCCAGTGTCAAGGAGGGCGGTCAGCGTCACCGCGCCCACCCGCACCCGGACCTGCATGGTGTCGCAAGGCGGCACCCCGGCCACGGCCTGCAGCGAGAAGACCGGAGCCTCCGTATCAGGGCCGTCCAGGGCGACATCTTCGTCGTCGTTGAGCGTGACCCCGGCTATGTAGAAGAGACGGCGGCAGACCCGATTATGGCCGCGGGAGTACTTCTCGTCGCAGTTATAACACAGCCCCAAGCGACGGCGTTCCGCCTTCTCCTCCGTCGAGAGGCGTCTCACCGGCTTGGGCTCCTGGCGGGCACCCC